TTTTGGGTCTTTTTGTGGAGGAGCTGTGCCCTATGTATGTTTGCTGCAGTGTTGAGATTTTTTCCTTTATTTTGCATTGGGAGAATCAAATTCTATGATAGGGATGGAGACAAGGAAGGGCAATTAACAGAGCTATATGGGTGATAATAGGGATGGGTAATAAAAATAAAGGAATGGGAATAGTGTGCCTACTTAACGTTGTTTCCCCATCATATTCCCAAAGTCCTCACAAGTCCTTAATTGGACTTGCACATCACTTTTCACAATGTTATTTTCAAAAAATGTTTGAATATATACTCCATCCATTCCTCCCTACAAGAGTTACTCCGAGTACATGTTAACTATTACTGGCTTTTTTATAATTTTTATTCATTTATTTATATATTTTCATTGATTATTTGATAAAATAAAATATTATTGTCACCTCTTATTTTATAGAGTGTTTTATGTACATTTTAAATATAAATTTTTATTTTTTATTTCTTTACAAATTTGTAAATAAAATTATTTTTAAAAGTCGCGTGATTTTGCACGTTGATCAAACACCCACACACCCACAGATATATATATATATATATATATATATATATATAAAGAAAATTTACATATTTTAAGATAATATTAAAAATTTTAGAAAATGAGAGGTGATTTTAATTTTTCAAAAAGTGAACTCAATATTTAAAAAACACGCAAATGAAATATTTGCATGGATGCATTTTCCAATAATATTAAATATATCAATGATTTAGAATTTACATTATAGATATAACAATATAGTTTTAAAGTTTTTAAAAAATAAAATAAAATCCTTAAGAATCTTTATTTTTTTAATTATTAAGTATTTAGAAACATTAAGCTAAAGTGTAACAAAAAACATTCTAACTTAGATGGTTTAAAACTTCATTAGGTCTCTAAGATATTGTATGTTCGAACCCCATCATAGATAAAATTTTTGAAAACAAGGGTTCTAATCGATTCACAATAGTTTGGACCGGTTCAATGCGTACTTCGATCAGTTCGCTGAACCGACTGGTCTGCCTTAGTTTTTAAAATTATGGCATCCGTCGTCATCTGTGATCTTATTTATTGACTTGGAGATTCTTTTTAACTCTTGTCCCTATAGCTCTCATTTCAACTATTTCTATTCTTTTTCAAGTTGTTTTTCAATTATTTCCATCATTTTCTCAATACTTGAATTTTATGACTTGGAATTCATTTAATCGGTAGAAGATTTAACCCATTACCAGAATGTTAACATTCATTCACCATCCATATCATCCCATAGTGTATGTCAAATATTTTTTTAATTTGTTCCATGTTTTTTGAAATTGTCCTAATTTTGCCTATACATTAAATTATAATAATTAAATAAAGAAAATTATTAAAAAAATCAACATGTGTGCAATTTATTTTGTTTAAAAATTAGTATATTATTACTATTACGGAGTACTCCGTATTATTTAATATTATTACTATTACTATTACTATTATTATTGTTACCATCAAAATAATTATTATTATTATCCCGGGTCTACATTTGACATGGCAAGAGCCAATTTTGGATGGTTTGACATGGCAAGAGCCAATGTTGGAAAGGTTAGAATATAATCAAGAGTTGCGTTTTTGTGGTTTTACGACATATATTTGAAATATAGATTTTCTTACATATTTTTTCATGATTTTGATGTAATAAGGTTTATAAAATAAATTTGGATCCCAAGATGAGAAAAGAATTTGCTTAGACTATGTCTTTCACACCACTCAAGTGACACATGGTTTTATAGGTTTTTCCAATAGTGTTTTTTAACAAATAAGCACACATAGTAGATGGGTTAATGCAGATAGTTTATGCAATAAATAAATCAACAGCTTGGGGATGACTATGGGAAATGAATAAATTTGGCAATAAGCACCTTCTCTTGACCCATCAAATCAGGGAGCCCATTTCCTTGAAACTCATTTGTCTCCCACAAAAAAGCAGCCTTGCAAGATACATGGGAATATTTTTTGTGGCTATCATCATAAAAAGGAGTATTTGCCCATCATTTTCTCTTTTATTTCGTTTTTAATTATAATAAAAAAAAGATGAGCTCCATCCCCGAGGGCTCCCTCAGAGCCGGCCGGACACTCACTAAGAAGAGTTAAATTGAACTTTAATCGCAGATTTGTGGCAAAGAGTGAAACCTGCAACTGGTATTTGGAAAAATCCTGTGCTTAGCATAATTACCTTTCAGCGCAGTTGTCAGAAGTCAAACTCAGGTCTTACCCCCTTGGCACCTCTTGTCTTGCCAACTGCGCAACACCCACCGACCTTTCGTTTTTAATAATAATGAACATGTGTTAAACACAAATTTTATAATTTCTCCAATCTAAACAAATTCAAATCACATATGTTTTCAAAACTTTAAAACTTTTAATATGTAATTAAATCAATAATTTATACTAGTTTTTTATTGTGAAGGAATACTATCTACGTCCGACAATAATGATCTGATTCACTATTCACATAGTCAAACTTTATTTACTTTGTTGGTATTTTCGTTATCCATTTGATAGAATAATATAGTCATGTACTCATGTCACTTCTAGTTTTATAGATCTTTAATGTAGCTTTTAAATATGCGAGTAATTTTTATTTTATAACTTCATACGATTTTTCATATAGAATGATTTAAAAATAACTTCAGTTAAACATCGTAACGCGCAACAGAGACATTATTGATGGAGAAGAGAGAAAGGCCATGTTCTCCTAAAGTAATTTTTTTACTTATTACTTAATCTTATTGCAATCATATCAGATCAGACCAGAATTAGTTTTTAATATAACTATATTCAGATCAGATCAGATCAGAACTTCTTCGAATCATATCAGAACCAATCAGATACAGTAAATAAAAAATGAAATCTAAGTGAAGAGGGTAGGAATAGCCAATTAGACTATTCTATTACCTCTAAATCGTCCTGTCTCTTGTGCCATTGCCAAAGCTGCATTGGTCTTTAACACATTCTCATTAAATTCCATTAAATTTGTCCACATCCGTCCTGACCTTTCCCTTTCTCTTTGGACCTAATGTCTACCATACATAACACCATTTCAGAATCCAGATAAACAACTCACTCTATATACGTTCTTTGTTGACATGTTATTCCATTATTAGACTTTTATTAATGAAGGATGACCTAATCTTTATGGTATTCCTTAAACAAATTAAAAAACCAACTCCAAGGATCCCCCCACTACCAATCCGAACCTTTTTTTTGATATTTTAGAATTGGCTACACAATTACACGAGATAAAGATAATAAACTAAACTTGGAAGAAATACCTAATAAAAATTAAACAAGTATGTATATATATATCAAAATATGACTTTCAATAATTTTCTAACAAAATAAGGCTTATAATGTCATGTAATGCCAAAACATAAAGTCAAAAACATTGTAAAATTACAGCATGCAATGTCAAATTACATGTCAAGATAAAAACATACGGAGTAAGAAATTTATATATGTCCAATGTTCTAGTTTTATTTATGTAGACAATGACCAATAAAATTTCACGAAATTATATGACATGGAAAGGATGTGTGTATGTAATCCTTACCTCTACTTCAAAGTAGAGAAACTCTATTTAACACGGAAATCAAACACAAGGAAAAAATGCACATAAACCACCCCAACCTTAGAAAAAATGCATATGTTGCGTTTCTTTTTTTCCGTCTCTTTTGGTTCTTCCTTCTTTCTTCTTTCTTTTGTGTTGCTTCTTTCTTTTATCTTTTTTTGTTGCTTCTTTCTTTTATCTTTTTTTGTTGCTTCTTTTCTTTTTTCTTTTTTTAGTTTTTAATTATTTTTCATTTTTTTAATTTTGATTTTTTGAATTTCTTTTTAGTTTTTTAGTTTTTTTTATTTAGAGATTTTGTAAGTTTGTATTATTTAATTGTATTTTATGAATTTAGTTTAATTATATTTATTAAATTAAGCATTAAAAAATAACATTAAAAAATTGAAAACCTAAACTTTTATTATTTTTTGTTTTTAGTTTAATGATTTAAATTAAAAGGGTTAATAGCACATGCATCCCCTGTGGTTTACAAAAAGGGCGTCAAAACCCCCCTGTTTTCAAAAGTTATTTGTAAAGTCCTTGTGGTTTCTAAATAGAGCACACATGCCCCCCTTACCTATTTTTAAAGCAAAAATGACATTTATGCCCTTTGTTTTCCCCGATCTTGAATTTTTCCGATTTTAATTTCCCTTATTATACAAATATATAAAATAAAATATATGCTTCCCATCTCAAATTAGAATTTTTCATAATGTATTTTTGAAAATAAAATATTTTTTGGAGAATGTTACAAAAAAATGAAAAATAAAATATTATGTACAAAGTAAAAAGTAATAACAATTAAAAAAAGTAATGAAAAGAAATAAAAATATAAAAAATAGTCTTTTTCTTTAACTCCATATTTTATTTCATTTTTCTGTTCTTCATATTTCATTTTTAAAATAGTCATTTTTAAACATAAACTTTTATTATTTTTTGTTTTTAGTTTAATGATTTAAATTAAAATAAGTACTACTCCCTCCGTCCCACATTATTAGCAACATTTGCTTTTTCAACAGTCGCGAGAACTTTTGTTTATTTCTACGTTTTAATTGGTTATTTGATAAAATAAAATATTCTTGACACCCTTTTATTTCGAAGAACTTTTCATGTAGTTTTTTGATATGTAATTTTTTTTTATTTCTTTACCAATATGTAAATAAAATGAATTGAAAAAACTTAATATTTTATTTCGGTAATAGAAATGTAACAAATAATTTGAAATGGAGGAAGTATTAAAAAATGGGAAGCACATCTCATGGACTAATGGGCACTCACCCGTCACCACTGTCACAAGTCACGAGCACACAATGCCTCCTCCTGCTACGTTTGTGAGTTATGAAAAATTACGGTGGGTAAAAGTCGTTTCTTTTTTCTCCATCATACCTAAACGATGAAAGTCGAGAATCTTAGAAGAGTTTGGGTGGAGTACGTCAGCAATGGAGATCTTCTGTTTGGCAATTGGCATCTAGTGACACTTCTGATCAATCTTCTATCATATCGGATCTGGCAGACACTACTCACGAACATTTGTCGTCTTTCTTTCATGTGAATCAAACGCAATTCATCCTTGTTCGGGCATGTGTTCAGGTACACTTTTTGTGCAAAATATGTGATCCAAAATTCTGTCTTTTCATTGATATTTCACCACGGGTCATGTTTCTTCAATGTTGGGTCAGTCATCTCTGCAAGAACTGGTCTTTTTCTTGTTTTTCCTTTGTGCCCTCCAAGTGTTTGATCAAATGTCTCTGGTTTTTTGTGTGTGGAAATTTTGGTTACTCAACTGGAAATTTTGGTGAGTTTTTGCCAGTTCCAGAGCTTGCCATGAATCCTTTGTCCCAGGTTAGTTATTGAAATGGAAGTACAGTTCTAGTTGGTGGTTGCATTTTAAATTATGAAATGTTGCTGAAGTTAGTTGAATGATCTAAATACTCCGTACCAACTACCAAATAGGTGAAGGTTGATTTGAACTGGCCAAATATGTACTGTAATGTCTGTATTAGTTTTACTCCGTAAAAAATATGGAGTAATAATAAGCAGTTAAATAGATGATGGTCAAGTTTGTTCTCTTCAACTTATTTTGGATACTTATTCTTATTGTCACCAGATCAGACTAGATTAGATCAAACCAAACAAATGGAATCAGATTAGACATTAATAAAGTCAGATTAGAACCAATTAGATCCAACGAAAAGAACAGAGCCTATGTTTATTTGTCTTCATTTCTACCATTTCGGTCAAAACTCAAAAGCAGAGCCTTTTTCACTTACACTAGTAATATTTAAAAAATTGTAATGCTGAATGAAGCAAGAAGAATGAGATTGACCAGGGAGAGGATTTTCTTTTACCATTTGATATTGGCTTAAGTTAAGAATAGAGTTCTCTGTGTATGTGATATTTTGTGATGATATTATTCTGTCTACTTTGTTGTGGGCTCGATGTTATTAGTGTGGATTTCATCTTAAAGCGACCAAAGTATCTTTTGAAATGTAGATCTTAATAGTGGACAGTTATAAGTTTGCACAATTATTGCATTATCCTTATAAATTAGAGCTTCGAAGAAGTTTTTAAATAAATTACGGTAATAGTTTGTGTAATGAGGGACTAAATCATCAGCTTAGGGAGAATTCAAGGACTACCTTTTGACAATAACATTTGATGGAGCCAGATTCACTATTTCCCTATTTTGGAAGACTAACGGTCTAATGCTATGTTTGGTTAAAGGAATTTGAGAGGGGATAAGAAAAGAAAATTTGATAGAAAACCGTTTTTCTTGTTTGGTTAGAGAGAGAAAAAAAAGCAAAGTGGAAGGAAAAGAAAATGAGAAGACAAAATGTACTAGTAGGAAGGAAAACCAAATTCCTCCCATTTTGGTGAGGAAATTGAGAAAAAATCAGTTTCTTTTTCTCCCTCCAAATTCCTTAAACCAAACATAGTGTAAAAGCTCTATTTTCCTCATATTTGTCGTCAACATCATCAAACCATTAAGGTCTAGAAGTGGGGTTCGCGATGGTGGTTAAATGCAAACTTTACCCTTACCTATAATGACAGACCCTCAACTCAAGGAAACATAAAAAACGATGCTGCAACAGTGCAACATCACCATTTGTTTTATTTGTTAAACTCATACTTCATACCAAAATGACAATTTTACTCGCTATTTACGTATTCCTTCCTTTTGTTTTGGTTCTTTACATATACCTCTTGGTTGATTTCGTGAAATCGTCTTTTTTGCATTAGTTATCTTCAAGGTATATGACTATGATGGCAATGGGAGGGTATCCTTCATTCCTTCAAAGACATGATGATAGTGCTTTAGGATTTGAGTGGTGGATACTTGTCACATACAGAAAGAGTACTTTGCAAAGAGACTATTGGCTCAGTGTATCTATGTTCTTAAATATTCTGGTTTTGTTTGTAACAACAACAACATTATTATTATTACTACTAAAAATTGAGTTGCAAATTACTTCACCCAAGCCTCGTTTTATGTTGGGTTTTGTAGGATGTCTTGATGAGCCAAGCTCTGCATGAGGCTGGTTATACAAGGGACTCATTGATACTTTTGGATGACTTCATTAAGGTTTGTGTGTTTCATTATCCTCTCCCTTTATATTGTGGATGCTACATTTGGCCTTAATAGCCGGCCTTTCCTCGGGCCTACATGAAAGGAAACTTTGAACTATAGAATCATTCCTTCGGGATGTCTCCATATATGTACTCAACACTGAATAACATTATGTGCCCTTTAACAGCAATTGTAACTGGAGGGGTATGAATGTCCATGTATAGGGTAGGGTGCAGCTGTATGTAAAAACGATGTAAGAGAGAGACTAGAAATTCCTTCAACCAAACATAGTGTTAGTGATGGGATGCAAATTGTGGAGCTACTAACGGGTAGTCAAAAGGAGCCTGGCTCGTCGAGCTTGATTCGGCTCGCATAACCTACACTGAGCCATGCGACTATGCCCTAGGGGAAGCAAGAAATCAAAGGCAATCAGATCATAGAAAACCAATGAGTAAATCATTTCGTTGAGTATTAAAGAGTAAATGGGTACAAAGACAATTCAGCAAACTATATGATACGGCCAGATATATCTTCATCTTCGTAAGTCATGGCAAATCTGTAATTAAAAAAGTGTTTCAGAATGAACTTAACACTACGTTGTTTCAAAATGAGTACTAAATAATGTAAAAAATACATATATTTTTTTCCACATAATATCTTCTACGAAACTAGCATAATGCCGGCTTCGACTCTTGACAATGAAAGATGATCATGTTTAGTATGGGGGTGGTTGCATGTACTAGGAATAGATCTTACTTTTAATTGATCTATTTAAAATTAAAGCTTTTATTTTGTTTCGTTTTGGCTATAAATGTCCTAGAATAGGGTTGATCCCTTTTCTTTTTCCTACTAAAACAGCTGCCCATTTGCCTATAAATGTGGCCGATGAATCTTACCAATTTTCCCTACAATAGTCCTTTAATATTCAATGCCTACCTGCCAAGTTATACCTTAGTGTAAGTATGCTTTATACTTCCTACTCTTATTATTATTATTATTATTATTATTATTATTATTATTATTATTATTATTATTATTATTATTATTATTATTATTATTATTATTATTATTATTATTATTATACGTTTCTTGATAGATTGAAAAGATATACGGAGTATATTGAACCCTAGAATCCCCTCCATACTTCTTGGACATGGGATTCGCTAGGTGTACTCTAAACGTAGACTACCTTCTCACAGACATACACAGACACCCATTGTCTGTACGTAATACAGATAATTGAGTGTCTGTGTGTGTCTGTGATGTACATTTGGGATACACTTACCTTTTTCTATTGAACATTGATAATGTAGAGAGATGTGTGTCTATACTCTATATCCATAATCCATTTGACTATTGATGTACCATAAAAGTTGTACTAATATTTGGTTAAAGATAAATGGGGAAGCATGTCGTGTAAGAATTCTAAATTTGACCTCACACAATCATTAATAAAGATAAAATTTTGTTGTTAAAATTTCGGATATGAAGTGATATGAACCATCAAAGCTTGGCATGACCAAAAAATGAAATGTGACTCATACGGTATATATTTAAACTCCCATTTTAAAAAGCTAGTGATACCATTGCCCTTTTCATCTTTAATTATTTGTCCAATTTATATTTTTTTTTAATTAAACTAGATAAATTTTAAACATTAATAACATTAAACAAATCAAAAACTCAAATTGAACAAATATTTTAAGAAGAAAGTAATACTACGTACTCTGTATTTTTTATTCGTTAATTTAGAATTATATACGAAGCTCATCCAACTATCCAAGATCGAACCTTTGGAAGTTCAGACCAACTGAAAGGACGAAAGTAACCCCCATTTCACAATCTTGTACATGTACAAACTCTAAAGGAATATGAAGCATTCGAGGGACACAAGTGGGTTTTCAAGGGACTCCTTACTCTTTGTTGATTCCCACTTTTGGCCGCCATTGTTATGGTTCTTAAAGCTTCCCTCCAACATCCGGATCTTGTCGCTCATGTCGGATCTCACCCGACCCGGTGACTTTCCCGATTTCCGCATTGATGGAGTCCGACCCAAACCCGTTCCCGCGCCGCCGATTCCCGTCCTCGTCGCCGGCGAAACTGACCTCCGCCCAATTTTTTCAGGACTCCCCTTCCGCGGCACGTTCCCGGATGGCCGGCCGGAAGAACCTCTCCCAGCCCCCGATCTAACTCGGCCGGGCGACGGTTCCGAGATCCTCTCTCTTCTCGCCTCTCCGGGAAATGGCCCCTTTAACACGCTTGCAGGAGACCTCTGCGTGACGTCATCTAGCTTGCCAGACGCCGCAGTGGCGGGAACGCTCTCGCTGAGAGTGCTGCAGATCTCAGAGCCGGAGAAACCTTCCGAGAGGTCGTCGGGAACGGAATCCACCGCATCCGCCGCCGCTGCAGCAGCGGCCTTCGTGAGACCGACGTCGTTTTGGCGATTCTCCTGATCTTTGGGGAGTGGTGGATTTTTGTGGGGCCCATCGTCGACGGGCAGTTTGGGGAGAAGAGTGGGTGTTTCGGAGAGAACCTCCTTGACGGTTTCCTCCTCCGGCAACGGGTGGTCGAGCGGCGGAGACGCAGTTCTCCGGTTGGAGTTCGCCGCCGGGTGAGAATGTGGAGGCGGCTTGACACCGGAGGTTACACAGCAATTACCCATTTCTGAAATCGAACAATTGATTCAGGAGATAATGTTAAATTGGTTGTGGATTCGATACAGTTCACCGGTTGTCGCCGGAGGGGTGGCGGAGGAGACGGTGGTTCTTTGGCGGAGGAGAAGAGTGTCTTGGAAATGTGGAAGGAAAGATAAAACATGTGCTCCTGGAAAGCTTGTTGACTTTATTGATATGAAGAAGAATGGAGTCATCATTTTAAAGTACAAATAAATTTTCACACCGACCGTACCCGCTGCTAGCTAAGGGTCCGTTTGGTAAGGCAAGTCTTTTTTCCCATTTTAGTTTTTGATAATAAAGTCTTTGGAAAATAGTCTCCTGGTAATAAAGTTATTTTTCCGGTTATTTTTTTTCTTTTAAATATGTAGTGTAAAAAGTGAAAAAAATTGGTAAATTAAATGTTTTACCCCTTGTAAGAAATGTTTGTGCCACCGGTAAAAAAAATTCATTCCAAAACAAAAGTAAATTTATTTAAATAGAGTGTAAACTTAACGTATTTACACAAACAACAACTCACTAGGGAGGTTGTATATAGGCATACCTTTCCTAACTTTTGGAATATTTTGTTTTATTTATCTATTTATGAAATATTTTCTTTACTTATTTCAAATTTGTTTAATATAAAACTTGTTTTTTCATCATAATTTAAAAGTGTCTTAAAAAAATTTAGGGGCGCAACCCTTTAACCCTTGCCTTACTAACTGTTCCCGGTCATTTCGATTCCCGAATCAGTCACTGTGCAGAGTAATGTTATTTTGGTACATTTTTTTTTAAAATTGTTGTGTTCAAAGGAAAACAAATATTTTTTACAAACGGAGTACATTTTTATGGTAAAATTGTTAAAGACTAAATTTTCTAAAAGTCCTTTATAACTAGGGTTTTCTCTATTTAGATCATATTTATCCAATATTATGTCCACGGTCCTTGTTAATTGGGTACCATTCCGCATTTGGGCTTTTGTCTATTTTTCTGTTTCTATGTCGTTAGACAAGCATTACAAAAAAATGCGGAATTGGCACGGCTTTTGGTACGGATTATAGTTTTAGTTTCCCGTGGCTATGCTATTAGGCACGGATACGAAATGCTGCCAATTTCGAAGCTCCAAACTGTTTGGCACGGAATCCTAGTCCGTGCTAATGATAGAGACGGCGTCGCTTGTAACAAATTCGTTACACTCGCGTAAAGAATGAAATGAAATTAAAACACCAAAAAAACATATTACACACATACTTACTGAAATGAAAGTTCATATTCCACACACTTACTGAATGAATGTAATGAAATTAAAAATCCAAAAATATATCGTACCTGGACGGATGTAAGGAAATTGAAATACTTCGTATGTTTCTGGATGAAATGGTTTCGTATATAAAGAAATGGTGAACTGCAATTATTGCAATGTGAACTACTTCCAACTACTTTATAGTACAAAAACTTTATATTCCCTCCGTCCCAAAATATAAGCAACATTACGCTAAACAAAATAATTTTTTGAATTTTTTCAATCCATTTTATTTAAAGAATGATCTACAAATCAAAAAAAATTACATATTTAAAAACTACGTCAAAAGTTCTACAAAACAAGTGGTGACAATAATATTTTATTCTATCAAATAATCAATGAAAATGCAAAAATAAATAAAAGTTCCCGTGTTTTTTAAATAGTGGAGTGTTGCTTATATTTTAGGACGGAGGGAGTAGAAAACTTTAGTACAAAAACTTTAGGATGTAGTTGTTTTATTTGGATAAATACGATAGATGTAGATATTTTATTTGGATAAGTTTTTATAATTTTCTATTATTGTAGTTCTTTCTTTATTTCTTCTAAAAAAAAGTTGTATCATGTATTTTTTCTCTAATTTTAGTCTTGTTATCTTCCGATTTTAATATATTTAAAAGATAAAAGTGTTTTGTTATGAGTATGATTTAAATGTTTAAATAAATAAAATTATGTACTACGGAGAGTGGCATGGATTTAGGCACGGCTATTTCCATGACAAAACAGTCTTGTCCTTTTTGATTTTGAATTTTATGAGAAAGGTAAGGAATTGGAACGGCTAAATCTGTGCATATTAGTTAGAATAAACGCCGTTCGACGACACCGTTAACGTCTCAACGTTTACGCTATTGGCATGGAATTAGGCACGGACAAATGCAGAGCCAAATTAAAACACAAATAGAAACACGCCATGTGTCATCTTTCTTTTTTCGGCGTAGGCACGGAATGTCCGTGCCTAATATTCCGTGCCAATCCCGGGAGTTTTTTGTGGTGAAGGACTAATTGTGGAATGATACTTAATTAATAATGATCGTGAATATAATATTTGATAAATATAGATTAAATATAAAAAATATCCCATTATAAAAGACTATTTAGGGAATTTACTCTTTTAAATCACTTTTAATATAAAAATTAATAAATATGAAAAATGTATGATTGTAGTTTATAAATAATAAAGTCAAAATTTGTACACCATAAAAAATAATTTACCAAAAATTTCATATTTTTATTACGAGAATCCGTTTGAAATAGATAGGATTTAGAAAGAAATTGGGAGTTATTATCTCGTTTTAAGAACATAGGAGCTTCATATTTTTTATCTCCAAAATAGAAGTATAATGCTAATAATACCAATATATAGTGCCAAAAAATTCAATGAGATAATACTATACAATGTCATTATGTCAAACTCATACTTTGTAGAAAAAAATATGGAATTTTTATGTTGATGATAAATACTACTCCCTCCGTTCTAAAAAATACTTCCTCTTTCATTTTTTCCACTTCCAACAAAACACTTCCATTTTCTATTAAAAAACCACTTTTACCCTTACTTTTTCATACCCTACCTATCACATCATACTTTTTCTCTAATAATCTATCCATCACATCTTACTTTTACCCATCACATCAGGGGCAAAATTGGAAATCAACTATAATTTAACACTTCCTTATTTTTGCCCCAAATCCAAATGGGAAGTGTTTTTCCAAACGGAGGGAGTATGTTTTACTCCTATTTGGGATGATTTATAANTTTTTTCCACTTCCAACAAAACACTTCCATTTTCTATTAAAAAACCACTTTTACCCTTACTTTTTCATACCCTACCTATCACATCATACTTTTTCTCTAATAATCTATCCATCACATCTTACTTTTACCCATCACATCAGGGGCAAAATTGGAAATCAACTATAATTTAACACTTCCTTATTTTTGCCCCAAATCCAAATGGGAAGTGTTTTTCCAAACGGAGGGAGTATGTTTTACTCCTATTTGGGATGATTTATAATTAATTTTTATTTTCAATCTATTCCAAAATAATTTCGTATAAAAAAAATGAAACTTTTGGTAAATTATTTTTAATGTTGTGCAAATTTTTAACTTTTAATTTCTATATTAAAAGTGATTTAAAAAAGTAAATTATCTAAATAGTCCTTTATAATTAGAGATTTTTTGAAAATATAAAGAACTACATTGTGATTTATGACAAAAACATGGACTTATCGCTACAAATTAAACCATTCCTCTCCACCCAATTGTCTCCCTTTCCCACCCTCGCAGTCTCTTTTTTGGGATATATTTGATGGTTGTGGGCGTTACACGCGGTTAGTTATGCTAAGCATAGAGCCTCTGCAAATATTAGGTGTATGTTTCACTCTTTACCACCAATTTGCTAATTAAATCTAATTTACCTTCTCTTACTAATCATTCCGTCGAGTCTGAGAGGACTCTAGAAACATGGGGCTCATTCTTTTTTTTCTTTTATGAATCAATCAATATCATCACAAACGTGACGGGAAGTAGAGAAACAAAGACGGTACGGAGCAATATACTCCGTATTACAGAATCAGTACGTACATATATATATACTCCGTCGTATTATGATTCCGCTTCCTCAAATCCGAGTTGAATGGACGAATGAATGTACACCTTCAACATGTAATGCATGCATGCAACAAATCCTCGGAGTTTGATAGGACAACATAATCAACACTATATGTTTTCTACTCCATTTTGCACTCCATGTCTCATAAAATATTTTTCAGATACTTTGTACTAATTAAATATTTTTTCGTTGATATAATGAAAAGATTACACTTTTCATTTTTAGAAAACATCTTTGGGATTCATATAATTTCTCTTTCATCTATATCATTTTTAATCATATAATTTTATTTTTCTTAATCTTGGTATCAATTTGAATATGAAACTTTTTTCTTTTTTTGGAAAATAAGGAAGTATTATAACAAAGAAATCTACTTGAACATTACTACCTCCGTCCCACTCTTTTTGTCCGGTTTTGACTTTTGGAACTGTTCATCTAAGCACTTTGACTCATCAAATTCTCTCAATGTGTAAGTCTAAAAATAGTCATGTGTGATCTTATTTGATTTGTCTTAACATATAGATTATTAATATATAATTTTTATAATTTTTTAATATACAAATTACAAGATAAAATGGATTAAAGAAGTGCATTGGATGGTGTGCAAAAATGAAAGTGGACAAAAAGAGTGGGATGGAGGGAGTATAAAAAAAATAGGGCATGAGAATTATGCTCGAATTAATTAGAAATGTAAGACAAAAATATTTAGTACTCCCTCCGTCCCACTTTAGATTACAATATTCCCTTTTTGTTAAAATTAAAGAAGAGTCAAATCAAATTTTTTTTTCCCCAAATTATCCCCAAGTGGCCCACTCACATGGATGAATAGTATGTGAATAGTGTAGGAGTGAGAGGGTAAAAGAGTCAATTCCTTGTAAAGTTATTGACTTTGTAATTCTTTTTGAAACAAAAATGTGAGAGAATATTGTAATCTATTTCGGGACGGAGGGAGTATGAAATAATATTTCTATGCGAACGAAATAGAAGTGTTAATTACGTTTATGAGTCATTTTTAAAATAATTTTTTTTTGTAGTTGAACAAATATTTTTTTAACAAAGTCAAAAAAGAGGTTGTCTATTTTATAATCAAAGACTAAAAACATAGTTAGTTAACCATTCTTTTTGGCATCCCCTTCACATAAAAGACTGAACCCCAACCTTCAAGAAAATAAAAACTATAATCTCAAATGGTCAATAGAAGTGACCATGTTTCTTATATGTGCAACAACCTCAGCTCGTGTGGAACTTGATCGTTTTGTATCGCCGTTGTCAAGAATTCAACTCGAATTTATTTCTTTGACACTCACCAAGTCACCACAAGAAATGACATCCCACTTGAACATACCGATCGAGTATTATATACTCCGTATATACGTCATGCCTCTAATACCATCCATAGTGCATCTGATACGTTCATGGAAGTGGCATAAGTTGAGTTGGTAGTGTCATGTCATCACGTGATCACCATGAACACTACCTTATTTGTGTGTAACTGAGCGCAAATTCTACCACACAATCGGATGTACGGAAAGAATTATACAATCGGCCATACGGGAATAAACATGCAGTCACTTATATTTTCATCCAAACACTTTCGAATTGAAAGATAAATGACTTATTATTATTTTCTTTGTAACAGAACATATTTTAAGTACTCCATAAACTAAAAAATAAAAAGAGTTTGGATGGAAAAAAATTAAAACAAAAATTAAGAAAAAAAGTTTATTTATTTAAATGATTAAAGATACTTTCTCCTTCTATGATTATTTATCCAGTTTTCACTTTTTTAGTCAAAACTGACGAATTTTGACAACTAATTAAATAGAATTGATATTAGATATTGATATAAAAATAATTTTTTTAGATTTTTTATATAAAAAAATTTCAAAATATTTTTTTATCAAATCAATGTATCATATAAGTTTTATTTAATTATAGGTCAAATGTTAAAATTTATTGACTGTAAAAGTTAAAACTTGACAAATATTCAAAGACGGGGATAATATAATTAATTTAATAAAATAGATAAATATTAAAGAATAATTTTATAAATTAGTAAAAGTAGAGTACTATTTTTTTCAATGGAAAAGTAGAGTGGTATTAGTATTAGAGTAAATTTCTAAAATGGTACTCAATAATTATATGTTTTCCCAAATTGGTCCCCAAAATTAATTAATTTCTGAGACGGTACTCGTTAATTGAGAATAATACTCAGTTCATTCCCACCGACTAACGGCCGTTAAAACGGTGATAAAACGAAGTTAAGCCTTATATATATATTCACAAAATGGTAATTTAATTCCTAACTGGGTATTTTATTAAAGTAGCTTAGTCCATTTTTGAAATAAAAATATATTAATTATGGTAGAATATTTTAATAAATTTTATAGGATGACAATATAATACTAAAAACTATAAATATAATTTTATAAATTTGACAGTAAATTTTTCATATTATTTAGAAGAATATAATATGAATAAAATGTTTAAAAACGTTAAAAAAATCATCTTAAATAGGAGTTTAATATAAAGAAAGTATGGTACCAAAATATGAGTTCTTTTTTGATGTTTTACTCTTGTTTGTGGTTATTTCTTTAACATTTATTAAACATTATTTTATTTACATGATATTCTTGTCAATAATTGTAAATAATCTAAAACATTTAGTTTCAAATTTTAAAAATTATATTTATAGTTTTTTAGTACTATATTATCATCCTATAAAATTTAAATATTTTTTCATGATTAATATTTCCTCTTTGAGTACTTGTCTACTTTACTTTTTCGATCAAAATTAGTAAACTTTGGCCTCAAATTAAATAAAAATGATATTAGATATTGGTACAAAAATAGTTTTATTAGATTTATTCTATCAAATATTTTTAAAATATTATTTTATATAATTATTATAAAATATATATGTTTTATTTAATTATAGTTCAAATGTTGAAAATAGTTGTATGAAAAAAATTAAACTTTGACAAATACTCCAAGACGGAGGTAGTATATGTGAATTTAGAATTTGTAGTGTCAAAAATGAATTGAAAAATTCAATTTCATCAAAATTACTTCCATAGAATTTTAATTTATAATTCAATTCCAATTCCGTCAATTTCATATACCAAACGGAGCATGAGGATTCTTAGTATTAAGGCCAAGTTCTTTGACTTGAAAAAATTAAGTTCTAACTTCTTCTAACTCCTTTCACTTTATTTCAATTTCTTCTATTTCCTTCCAAATTCTTCCAGTTTCTTCTAACAATGACTTAAAAATGTGATTATATATGATTAATATAAAATGACATTATATATCCAAATTTATAATATATCAACTCAAACACGAACAATGATAAACTCTTTTAATCCAAAATTAGAATTTGCTTACATATTTATTTGAATGATAATTTAAGTGAGTGATTTTTTAACACTTAAATTCCAATCTAAAGTGAGTGAGAATGTGTGTCCAAATTCAAAACTGGTGCCGTTAGCGTGACAGGAATTGTTCTTTTTGAAATCTGCAATGATGGCCTTTTTCACTTTGACCGGATGAAGAGACTTTACTCCAGAGCTATATACCTCAGCTGTACTGTGCCGTCTTCTCCATTTTTGATTACTTCGTCTTCCTCCTCCTCTGAGAACGTAATGCACTTTATTTAATCCTGCTTTTCTTCCTTTCAGTGTTTTTAACTTTTAGGGACGTCTTTGCGAAGCCATTGCCCATGACGAGCACGATGAATGGAGGCACTTGTATGACAGCGAGAGCCTTCATGATTTTCGCCATTTTTGCAGCTTCAGCTTGCCGATGCTGGGGAGATACATATACTGACCCCAGAGATGGTAAGATTTTATTATAAAATAAAAAACTATTCATCTGCTTCATTTTTTAATTTCATAAACCGTTTTTTTTCTTCCACCTTTTCAGTTGATGCGATTACGAGTTTATATGTTAGTTTGGGGAATCCGCCGCTTCCCGGCTGGAATACGGCGGAGGTAGACCCTTGCGCGGAGGCGAGCAACTGGCAAGGCGTGAAATGTGTCTTCTCTAACATAACCGGGATGTAAGAATGGATGGTTGTTCTGATTGGTTAACCTCAATTTGGCTGCAAATTTCAGAGTTTGATTAATGTTTTTTGTTGTCTCAATTTAGACTTCTCAGTGGAGCCAATTTGGGGGGTGAACTGAGCCAGGACCTGGGAAATTTCACTTCACTCATAGAGATGTATTTAACTAATTACTTCTAAACCCTAGTTGAATGCTTAATAAATCTTCCATGTTATAGCATTTTCACTGACATTGTTCATGAATCTCAAAGAAGTTCTGATTGAATTAGGGATTTGAGCAACAACCACATTGGTGGAAGCATACCATCCAGTCTGCCCTCAACTGTACAAACTCTGTATGGATCATGGCTGCAACCTTAATTCAATTGCTTTAAGGAAAGCTCCATTCTCTGAACATACATGGTTCTTGTTTTTTTGTCAATAGTTCCCTTTCAGGCAATCAATTATCGGGGAGCATTACGGACACAATATCCACATTAGGCCTAGTGACTGACCTGTATGCTCTTTATCTTCACCCACATGTTTTTTTTCCTTTATTTAATAAAAAAATAACTATTTGGGGTGATCTAATGCTCCCTCTAGGTCACTGAGTAACAACCGTTTGACTGGAAGTATACCCGATGCTTTTCAACAGCTTCCAGCATTGACAAACCTGTATGCAATTTAGTGTTTAGTTTTAAAGGGTTATTACTCTTTCTGAGTGTAAATTGAACTCTGAGCTTTTAACTGCGGTGCAGGAATTTGTCCGGGAACAACTTAAGTGGTCAACTTCCTCCTTCAATGGGGAATTTGTCTTCTCTCACCACCTTGTATGTATTCATTCTCCTTAGTTTTTTTTTTCAAATAATCAACTTGGTGGTCTCTGGAAAATTTAAAAAAGGCTAAATTGCTCTTGGTTTTGTTGAAACAATAGACTTGAGCCCAATTCAACCCCAAAAGTTAACTCAAGAGGTTGAGGTACCCAAGCTATTAAATAGCAGCACAATATAAGGCTGCATAGCCGATGTGGGATGAACAAGTCAACAGGTTTTGATGCGTAGATTAGAGAAGTTGTTGCTCTTAGGAGTTAGGAGTCTTAGCGAATTCTTGGAACCCTTCACGTCAAAGCATTTTATGCAACATAAGATTGTTGAGATTTTGAACGTTTGTGTTTATCATTTGCAGGCACTTGCAAAACAATCAGTTGTCTGGTTTTCTTGATGTTTTAGAGGGACTTCCTCTTAACGATTTGTACTCTTCTATCCCTCCTTACGAATATGTACTCCTATTAAAGTACATGAATTTGTTTTTATTCTGGTCTTGTTGTTGCATGGAAATCATCTCCATATTGGCAACATCTTGTTTTCTTTTTTCACAGAAACATTGCAAATAATCTTTTCTTTGGGCCTATACCTAAGAAATTGCTGAGCATTCCAAACTTCAGGTGACTATCAATAGCCAATGCTATTTGTCACTTCTAATTAACCTCTTAACTTAATGTTTAATTCACAATAATACTTTGTCACACGTCTACTCTTATATTCATGATGCAATACCGACTTCATTTTCAGTAAAGATGGAAACCCATTCAACACTACTGTCATCCCTTCACCACCAACATTACCACCTCCTCCTCCACCCACATTTATACCACCACCTTCACCGGTTGGAGTTCCTCCTCAACCACCACCACCACATAGTGATCCCTTCTCACCACCAGGATTACAAGCTCCCACGGGGGAAAAAGATAATGGTGAACTTAGAAACAACAAAACGATTCATATTATTGGAGGGTTAGTTGCATTTCTTGTACTCCTGTGTTTATGCCTTTGTGTGCTTTCAAGATGCTGCAATAGATCACAAAGTTCCGATAAAGGCCACAAACTATGTGCATTTCTTGCATTTTGTGCAAGAGATCACAAAGTTTTAAATGCTCAGGGTAGCAATAATTATAGCTCAGAGACATTGACTCAGACCGGGTTGACAAAACATTCTAGGTTAAAGTCTTCCTGGTCTGAGAAGGATTATGATGATCATCAGACGGATAAACGAGTGGTGGATATTCCACCACCACCCCTACCTCCCTACATGTCTCTCCCTGCTAAAAGAATGATTCCGGACGCAACTTTTCCTCATGTAACCACAATGAAGCTGTCTAGATTGTATGGGAGCTCTGGAAATTGTTACACGATTGCAGATCTCCAACAATATACAAACAGTTTTTCTCAGGATAATCTTATCGGAAGTGGCATCCTTGGAACAATGTACAAAGCTTACCTTCCTACTGGAGAGGTAAACACACATGCACACACACATAGAGCTTCCTGACAAAATCACTGTTCCAACATTTGTATTCTGGCTTTTAGTTTATTTTTCACTAAAGTTCTATTGTTCAGCTGTTAGCAGTCAAGAAATTGGATAAAGATGTGGCAAGGTGTCAAACTGATGAAGAATTTGCTAAGCTGATCTCTGCAATCTCAGGACTTAAACACGATAACATTGTTAAACTTGTGGGCTACTCTCTAGAACATGGTCAAAAGCTACTAGTTTATGAGTATTGCAATAATGGCACCCTTTATGATGCATTACACATGGATGATGATATGCATAGACAACTTTCGTGGAATGTTCGAGTACGGATTGCACTTCAAGCTGCTAGAGCACTAGAGTAAGCTTAATGTAGTAGAAATAAGTAGAATACATCCAATACACTTCCATTATATATTTTTTTAATTGAATAAACACACAATATTTTATGCTGTTGTATTTACAAACTTATCCATTAATTTTTTAAAACCTAAAGGTATATGCATGAGGTCTGCCCCCAACCAACTTTGCACCAGAACTTTCGATCTGCTAATGTCCTTCTAGACGAAAAACTCAATGTGCACGTTTCAGACTGCGGGTTTGCTTTTCTTATGTCATCTAAGTCCCTGGCTGTGGTAGTACTCCGTACATTATAAAAAGATCACATCCTTTTTGTAATAGAACTAAAATTTCAAGAGAATTCAATTGTTGTTAACTTCAATTAAATCATGTATTCTGATGCTTCAGCTGCAAGGTTGTGGTTATGGTGCACCAGAACTTGAACTGGGAAGCTATACTTATCAGAGTGATATTTACAGCTTTGGAGTTGTTCTATTAGAGCTACTTACAGGGAGGAAATCATATGACAGGTAGCATTCATTTGAGCATGGATTCTATTAAATAAACATCTAAGCCAAATAAGAAGTCCTTGTGAGTTGTGAGTGCATCAAGTGTTAACAAGGCAGCTAGCAAGCAATCTATAAACTCAAATTCCAATTTCCAGGTCACGACCTCCAGGCGAACAGGTTCTGGTTAGATGGGCAGTCTTGAAGCTTCATGATATAGATGCATTATCCAGAATGGTTGATCCTTCTCTAGCTGGGGCATATCCTTCCAAGTCTTTATCTCGGTTTGCTGACATAATTTCCTTGTGTGTTCAGGTCAGATTTATTTTCCTTTTTTGTTACATTTACTCATATTGATGCCTTCAAAAGTATTAAGATTGGAACTAAATAAATGCACCGGGATTTTGATCCTTCATAAATGGAATTTACCCAACAAGAAAATAAAAACATTTAACAATAAAATATCCTCAAAAAATTTGTGAAGTCTTACTGATTAAGGTGATCTTCTCTTGTACCAACCATAAAGCATAAAATGGTTTGCCAACACACAATTTTCAAAAATCACTTAACAAATTAAATCTATGTGAGTCCTAAACCAAAACTCTTACATGTACTTCACAATTCACATCAAATAGGCATCAATAACAAAAAAGGAAGCAAGATTTGTGTCCTTATGCAATCTAAACTCAGAGTTGAAAAAAAAACTTATCCATCAAATGAGGAAATATCTGAATACAATGTTTTCAGCCTCGAAAGAAGTTTAAAACATGAACCTACAGTCCTACACTAGTTTAGGAATAAATGAACGCTGGGAAACACTAAGATCCAAAATCAGTACAAACATGTATGGAATATAGATTAACATCTTGGACAACACAAGGAAACTAAGACATTATGCACCATATTAATATTTCAAATTCAAATACAAACAGATGCTTAAGTGTGTATTATTATTTGACTATCAGAGCGCATCATCAAAACTCACTCGTGTGCGTGAATTCCTTCACGTTTTTAATTTTGATCCCTTTATGTGCATGGCCTCTATTGCACCACATCTTTTTTTCTTTAAAGATTTAATATAGTATGTTTGAATTGGACAGCCGGAGCCAGAATTCAGGCCTCCTATGTCTGAAATCGTGCAGAATCTGCTACACATGACGTAGGGGAGACCATTGAGTGAGGACACGAACCGAGAGAGTGTTGTGTGGATGCATTCACAGTTGCTTACATGTAGTGGCTCAGGCACCAAGAGAATGTTCCTCTAGTTCATGCAAGAGCAAAGAATGTATATACGAAGCTAAGTTAACTATCTAAAGTAACTATTGAAGATTTGATGAATTTGCCTACGCTTCAATTTATTTCTCCTGTAAATTCTGGTGATTTGGTTTCATACTTCAATGGCATTATTGTACTCTCCTCTGCTTATGGATCCTTTAGACCACAAAAACATGAAGCTGAGAAGCATTATATACATTTTTATCAAAGAAGAGTTTTACTCTTTGCGTTGCGGAATCTTGAAAGTAGTGGTAAAATGTGTTAAAAGTTGACGTAAATTGCCAAAGTGACGCAATGCGGTATGAATTTCATGTACAAATGTTCAAAATGCCGCACAACTTCTTCAACAACAATTCTTCATTCACTATGCTTAGCTCAATGAATTTGAAAAGGAAAAGAAAAGAGAATGACAAATTGACAAGGAAAATCTTTTTTTTTTGCTTTTTGGTTAGAGAGGAAAAGAGAAAAAAATTGAAGCAAGAGAAAATTAGAGGCAATAATAAACTAATTTCGAAAAGTAAATAAAAGGGGAGAAACTTTTTTACTTTTCCTTCCTAATTTAGTTCTTGGACCAAACATAATGTTAGTGATATCATGTCAAAAAATTAATTCAATTAAAACCTCAAGTTTGTGGTTGTAGATCAATATTTTTTTTATATTTCAACATTTAATTAGGGAGTGACACTAATTAAAATGAATATACATAGCGTTGGAAAGTAAAAAACATAAATTCTCACCCTAAAATAAATGTAGTATTCATACACTACTCTTTAACCATTAGATTTCAGATTTTCAATTAAAAAATAAGTTATAGCTAAAGGTATGACCATTCACTCAACCAATTAAAATTTTTTTCATCGATCATTGTCATCAACCATGAATTATAATTATTCCAAATTATTTTTTATAAAATTTTTGTTTTTCATATCTAAGTGTAATTAATACAGAGTACAAATTTCTCAAAGAAAAAACTTAAAAGAGGAAATAGAAGCAGCAAATCACAAATTGATAAACTATTATTGACTACTTTAATTAGATTTAATATTTTGAAAGGATTATCTAACGTTATCGTTTAAATTTAATATTTTCAAAGTTAATTTGTACGTAGAAAATGTTCCAAAACACTATTTGAAAAAATTATTTACAACCAAGGCCAACATTTTTTCATCCATACCCTGCTATTCAAAGCTTAACACACACATTTTTTGGTCTTGAACCGTTCATAGAATTAGGAAATTAAGCTCTTTAGACTAGAAAACGAGTTCGGAAAATTGTTTTCTTAATACGGAGTATAAGTGTATAACTATAGGTATTTTCCTATTAAATACTCCCCATCCTAAAAATCATGTTTTCGTTGCGATAATTTTTGTTTATTTTTATTGATTACTCCATTTTTGATAAAATAAATTATTCTTATTGTATCTTGTCTTATAAAACTTTAATATTTTTAAATTAAAATATGTAACTTGTATTTTTTATTTCTCTAGCAAAATTTGTAAATTAAATAATTTTAAAATAAATATAATTTTAGACATTGTTTGAAATGATATACGACTTTTAGAATGGAGGTAGTATTAAATTAAGGTTAAAATTAAGATAAAATAAAAATATTAGGATGTGTGGGCCAGATAATATGGGATAATCACATGTAAGTAGCTAGCAATAGCATGCAATAGCATTATGGTGCTACCATTTTAGAAGTGGAAAATGCCAATCCAAAGTGGGAAAAAGAATACAAAAAAGTCAGTAAGGTGGAACTAATTGGGTAATCAAATCAAGTTCGTAATTAGAGGCCTTTGGCTCCATTTTTTTTGCTTTTTGGAACTCATCAAACACTTTTTTTGACAACCATCAAATAGTTATTATTATTACTATTATTATTATTATTATTATTATTATGTTGTTGTTGTTTTCTTTTATTTTGTTCTGTTTTTGTGTAGCACATTTACAATTTCTTTAGTATAGAATGCTTCGTATCAAAGTTTAATTTATATCATTTCAGTAACCGTGTGACCGAATCTAAATGGGCTATCGAGAATGATGCTCATCCTTTTTGTATAAAAAATGTTTTAGTCTTAATTTTAATTAGAATTGGGAATTTGGTAATTGATTGCGATAGTAATTTTAAAATTTGGAAGTTTGGTACTAACTCTATTCTCAAGTCCAAAAATAAATAAAAGTTTGAAATTTATATATCTAGAATATAGAGTTAAAAATATAAGACTTAAAAGTTACAAAAGATCCATTATGCTAAGGGTATTGTCTAAAATCTTCATTTTATTTGATATTATTTGTTTCAACAAGAGTAATATCTATGTACACACATCGTTCTAAAATTCTAAGATTCAAGTACATTGTTGTCATTGTAATTAAAGATTAACTTCAATGTTTTTTTCGCGTTTTGAAAAAGTTTTAGTGTACCTTCTTAATTTTATTAAAAAAATTAAGCAGAATTATTTAAAGCGAATAATAATCAAATAATAAAAAAAAGAAAGAAAAAACCAGGGAGTTTCGAAAATTATATCGTACAGCCTGGCTGTACGGGAAGAACCGTACAGCCGGCGGAAATAAGCGGCAGGAGCGGAGAATCGAAGAAGTTCGCGAAGGAAGAGAGGAGGGTGACGATCGAAGAAGGCCGGCGAAAGAAAGGCTACGACGAGGCGCGACGATTGGGAGGAGGCGAAAACGATGGAGAGGGCGACGAGGGATGGCGATGGTGGCGGCGGCTTTACAGGAAGCCTGGAAACCCTAGGTGGGTGGGACTGAAGAAGTTGTAGAGATTTTGGGGATTGGAATGAATCTGATAATGAGGATACTGTTGTGAACAACACTTTATTTTAGAATGAGCATTTTCTTATTTGAGAATGAGTACTGTTTTTTTAAAGAATGAACACTATGCTATTTATTATAATTATATTAGACAAATGTATAAAAATGAGTACTTCTTTATTTAAAAATGAGTATTATCTTATTTCAGAATGAATATCACGTATTTCGAAATGAATATTTATATTTGTACGAAAATGAGTACTATTTTATTTGAAAATGAGTACTATCCGGATGTACCTATTTCTAGGTATGTCCTCATTTACCATATACTTGGAGTTTGGCGAAGTGTGAAGGAAAGGAACCTGGTAAAACCAGCAAGAGAAGCAAGTAGAGCTTCCCTTTTATTTACCCACCCCCCTTCTCCATTAATTTTTTTTATTTATTTTTCCGAGTAAATAATAATTCTGTATGAAATGTGAACTCGATTCTCAACGAAGAAGTCGTACGAAGTCTTCTACCGACTCGTTTAAGTTTTTTCAAACAAAAAAAAGAAACACAAATTTTCTTTTTGTTTTTTTGTTTTTTGTTTTTTTCATTCTTGGAGCTTCCCTCAGCTGTGATCTTGACAGTGATTTCCATTTCCGAATTCCAGTTTCTGTTGAGGTGGGTCTGATCATATCACATTCCCGTGGGTTTCGGCGGTGGAACGGCGGATTCCGTCGGTGCTCGATCAGCCGTCTCTTTCCCATGGCCAAACGCGGATACAAATTGCGTATCCTTCTTAGCTCTTTGAACTCTACTTGGGTTTTGTTTTACTGGGGATTTTTGTTTGTTTTCTCATGTATGATCTGAAGAAGTTTTTTTTTATTATCTGAGAAGTTCTTTTTTTTTTGAGGTAATGTGTTTATTATTGGATCTTGGCTATTGGGAAAGTTGAAGGTGGGATTGAATAATCTCCGGATGAAATGGATTCTCTTGTTTATTTCACTATTCATTTATTGAATTGTTTCTGAAAATGGTAGCCGAGCCTAAACAAGTAAAACATTTAGATTGACTCGAGAGGAAACATTTGGTTTAACTTTGTTGAATTAGTTTCTATTTTTCTTCATGTTCCTAACCGTTTGAATTGAGTGGAGTAGAAGTAAGGTTATTATATCACTATATAGAAGGACAGTTATGTTGGTTAAGGCATCACACGAACAGTTTTGTGTTATTTTTTGTGGTTCTTGACTGGAATGGATATAGAGGAGTTTGTGGCACATTCCGGGAATGTGAACTGTTTAAGGTTTGGTAAGAAGACATGTCGGCTGTTTGTTACGGGGGGCGATGATCAAATTGTGAACCTTTGGTCAATTGGCAAACCAACCTCCTCTTCGTCAGTAAGTTTATACGTTCTTGACTGTGATCTTTTTATTTTGTTCACAAACAAATTCTTATGTGTGTGATTTTGGATTTCATATTTCAAGAGCAAAATGTACGAAAGTATATGGGAGATTAACAATGCATTTTTGACCAAATTATAAGTGTTACTATTTTTATTATTTCATCGGAGTTTGTAATCCTTGTCCATATTCTACTTTTCAAGTTATTGTTATAAATTTATTATGAAGTATTAGTTTTCAAATGATTTTATAACATAGTTATTCATTTTTTATAATTTCTGATAGAGTACTATTTCCTTGAAAAGCTAGTTATTTCATCATGAAGGGTTTAATGGAGTGCATCCATGACTCAACCTCACTTTCATCCATGTAATATTTTCTACAAGTTAAGGATTCATGGAAATACCGTTAGTGGATGGATGCATAACTGATTTTTAAACACATTCTTTTTTTTGTTGCGGGAAGTGCAGAAAAATTGACTTCCCCTAGAAATAACTTGGCTAAGAAATATTGATGTTGTGATATCCTCATGATATTCAGCTGTGTAACTAAGAATCATTCTCTCAAAAAACTTTGCAGACCTTCTCTGGCCACACAAGTCCAGTGGAATCCGTAGCTTTTGATTCTGCAGAAATTTTAGTGGCTGCTGGAGCTTCATCTGGTTTAATAAAGATGTGGGATCTAGAGGATACAAAAAGTAAGCCTGCTTTTCAATTAGCCTCATAAGTGACTTAGTTGCATGTGTTTCGTTTCAAAGAGATATAGAGCATATCACACTTTGCATGCATTCGAAACACTTACTATCTGAAGTGTAATCCTGGATTGTGTTTATGTAGCTCCAACAAGTTCTTTATTTTCATCTGTAACGGTTGCAACTTGCAAGCCTGATTTCTCCGTGTCTATATGTGACTTACATGCTACAATAGTGTGAGCTCTAATAATGGAACTTCTCTTTCTGTTATTCTCGAAGTGTAGTGATTCGCACTCTCAGTGGACACAGATCATATTGCACTGCTCTTGAATTTCACCCGTTTGGTGAATTTTTTGCCTCCGGGTCTATGGATACCAACCTTAAGATATGGGATGTAAGAAAGAAAGGATGTATACACACCTACAAAGGTCATACACGAGGAATCAGCACAATAAGATTCACTCCTGATGGTCGATGGGTAGTTTCTGGTGGATTTGATAACGTTGTTAAGGTACTTTCTATGCTAGTTTTGGAACAAATTCATATTTTTCTTTGCTTTTGCCATACGATATTTTTTTTTCCTTTGGTCAGGTATGGGATCTAACAGCTGGAAAGCTTTTACATGATTTCAAACATGAAGGGCATATTCGATCCATAGATTTCCATCCCCTTGAGTTTCTTCTGGCAACAGGTGTGTGCGAAACCCCTCTATAGGACTACATTTACAGTTCTATAAAATGGTGTTTTCTTTTCCTCAATTTTTTTCTTGGAATTTTAATTCCTTTTTCCTATCATAGTATTATTAGTTGACACTTGAACTTCAATGGTGAACGTTGTGTATAGTTGTTAAGTGTGTACTATACTTCAATCAGTGTATATGACCTTAGATAGGAACTTTTGGAGAGCTAGGATTAGGGTAGTTGTGTAGGCGTCTTGGTTTGGGTGGTAGTTTTCTCACTTTTTGTTATGTGCTTTCTACTTGTTATGCCTTTCTCTCATTAGTATTAGTTGTCTTGGCTTTTTGTACTTGTGTTACTCTATTGTATGTGTCTTTCTGTATCTTTTATGAGTTTGGGCTTTTTGTGTTACTTGAGTCGGGGGTCTCTTGGAAACAACCTCTCTACTTTTGGGTAGGGGTAAGGTATGCATACACACACTGACACACACGCTCCCCGGACCCTACATTAGTGGGATTCAACTGGGTTGTTGTTGTATTTGTGACAAAACTGAACTCCTGCAACAGCAGACGATATATTCATTTTTGGAGATGACACATTGTACTACAACTATAATGCAAGAACTACTGAACTAGCTGCTAATAAAGAGTTGTTTCATCTGAGCTTGCATATGTCATGAGGCATGGAACTTGTGGATCTATTTGTTCCATCCTTACGAATATGCTCGTGTATATAACTACAAATATCTGGCTTCACTGTATATGTTTAAGCATAATGTTTTATATTTTATTTCAATCGAGAACATTTGGTCCTTCTGTGCATTGAACCTAGTGCTCTACATGCTATCCAGGTTCAGCAGATCGTACTATAAAGTTTTGGGATTTGGAAAATTTTGAAATGATTGGATCTGTGAGGCGTGAAGTATGTTAGTCCTTCCTTTTGCCCTTATTTGTTCTGTATTTTATATTTTAAAATCTAATTTAGTTATGGGAAATGTAAAAGGATTCAAAATTCTGATAAGCCGGAACCTAGTCAGAATCACTCCCTCTTCCATGTAGCTTCAACAACCAAGCCTTATCCCACTAGGTGGGGTCGGCTACATGGATCAAACAATGCCATTGCGCCCGGTCAAGTAGCGAGATTATTCACGCGATGGTCCCCTTTGATCACTTCGTGCGAAGTTTTCTTAGGTCTACCTCTTCCTCTAACCACACATCTATTCACTATTTGATCAACCCTTCTCACCGGATGCTCTATGGGTCTTCTCTCTACATGTCCAAACCACCTTAGACGGGCTTCCACCATCTTCTCTATAATAGGTGCCACTCCAATTTTAGCTCTCATATCTTCATTCCTTATTTTATCCATACGCGTATGACCGCTCATCCATTGAAGCATCTTCATTTCGGTCACACTAACCTTGTGTTCATGTTCATCCTTTGCTGCCCAATACTCCATCCCATACCCTTTGATCTTGCATGTGCCCTTGTTGGCCATGTGCACGTATCAATTCATGATTGGATTGTACTTGGCCAGTTGGCCTACACCAACCCTAGGCTGGTGGCATGTCTGCTATTGCAACCACGTGCCACATAGCCTATACCTATCCCTTGACCTATAGCTTGTGGGTTAGCATATAGCAACATGCACATTGATGATCCCATTCTATACCCCATGATCAGCTGGCTGGCTGAACAGGTCCTTACGGCCGGTCCCATCATCGGCTGGCTGGCTTGTTGAACTTGAAACTCTAACTAGGCTATGTATGACATTATACCTTCAGTTTATGTAGGTATTTTAAATTGTCAATTATGCAGTGCTTTGAACAGATTGCATGACTTTGTTTGGATTACAGGCTACAGGTGTACGTTCAATGGCCTTTCACCCTGATGGAACAACTTTATTTTGTGGACTAGATGATAGTTTAAAGGTTAAGTCTTTCCACTAATGAAATTATCACCCGCGCATTGACAATGGAAGTAGTGCTTACATTGTTCACTTCCTCTGAACTCTAGGTGTATTCATGGGAACCTGTACTTTGTCATGATTCTATTGATATGGGATGGTCAACACTTGGTGATCTTTGCATTCATGATGGAAAACTTTTGGGTGGTACATATTACCAGAGTTCAGTAGGGCTTTGGGTAGCAGATATTTCGGTACTTACCTTTATAATGTGAATGTATAAGAACTCAAATTTTACCTATTTGTTTGTTTTCACATTTTAGAGTATCCTTATATATCCCCTTCAATAATGTATTTTTTCCTATGTCAGCTCATAGAACCCTATGGTTCTTCTATGAATGCCAATCAGAATAGCAACTTGGAGCAAAATCATGAACAAAAGGAAAGTGCAGTGGAGATATTAGGGAGCAATAGAAGTTCAAATTCAAGTATCCGTTGCTCATCTCCCGATAATGATTCCAAAGATATAAAGAATATATATGTCGATCGTAAGTTAATGAACATTTTAAGCAAATGTGATATGCAACCATAATTAGCTCTGCCAGTGGTGGATTGTTGAACTGATAATATATGCCACTATTATGCATTTAGATGCCAAATGCTGAGACTTAAGAGCTTGTATATTACAATGTCTCTCATTTGGTTTTTATCTATAAGCATGATTAGGACTATACAGAGAATGCAAATTGTGGAGGTTTACTCCTGAAATAGATTACCTTTTCTTTAACTTTGCACCTTAAATCTGTGATTTTATGGTGCATTTTCATATCCTTATTTTTAGTGATGTGTTATACTCCCTCCTTCCCCAAAAGAAATTGGCACTTTGACTTAATGGAATTTTTGAAAAGTGCTGAAATTTAAAAAGTGAGTGTTTGGAATTAGTTTAGAAGAGCAAGAAGCTGAGGATCGCTGTGAGCCACATATTTCTTAAAAAAATCAGGGAAGTGTGAAGTTTATTTTGAGATAGACCGAAAAAAAGGTGTAAGGTTCTTTGGGGGACAGAGGGGTATATTTTATATATTTAACAATAACTAACATTAAATATTTAATTGTGCAGGTGAAGATCCTGTCACTACCAAGGAGGTTGGTTCTCTTCATTCTACTGATGTTATGCCCCAACCTGATTGTAAGGAGAGTGATCCTTTATGCACTCAGAAGCAGAATTCTGTTAAAGTGGTGAAGAGAAAAACCAAAGGACCTGCCAACAATAAGTCTTTCGTTGCCCCAGTTCTGGTTCCTCATGAAAATCCAGATCGAAGGGCCTTGGCCAGTCCTAGAAGGGAAGTCAGTTTGACTCCTACAGCCAGTGCCAGTATGCCCATGAAGAGGTCTCATCTAAAGAGGTCATCAAACAACTTTGATATGGAGAAAACAATTGAGCCAGAGCCAATTCAGAATACCTTCAAGGAAAAAGGCTCGACTGTTAAAAATGATGACGAGAAGTCGGAGAAACCTGTATTACTCTCAGCAACCCCATGTCAAGCAACAGGCAAGTTCATTAAATTTCTCATCAGTGGTTTGTATCACATGGCCTTGTTTTATGGTGATTGTGTGGGCAGATGAGATTGCATAGGATGGGAGGTGGCCTGGGCATGTGAGGCAGCGGAATGCTGACGCCCTAGTGCGTAGATGCGAGAGGCTTACATTGGTGGTGGGAAATTAGGGGAAGAGGTAGACCTAAGAAGAACTAGAAGGAGGTTATTAGACAAGACTTGGGGCTTCTTGGCTTCTTGCCCTTACTGAGGATATGACTTTAGATAGGAGCATTTGGAGAGATATGATTAGAGTAGTTGGCTAGGTGGTTCGGGTTGGAGGGGTAGTCTTTTGTACTTGTGTGCGTGCTTTGTATGCCTTGTATATTTGGTGCATTTTGATGTCAATATTTTTCCTTTGTTAACTTTAGTTTGTTCTCATCCGTGCTGTATCTCTGCTTTCTTATCTTCTATGATCTTTTCTCTGCTTCATTATCTCATATTCTCATGTGCTTTATTATCTCATGGGATCTTTTTACTTGTGCACCTTGAGCTGGGGGTCTCTTGGAAACAGCCTCTTTACTTTCGAGTAGGGGCAAGGTTTGCCTACCCACCCAGACCCTACTTTTGTGGGATCCAATTGGGTTGTTGTTGACCTTGTTTTACTAGAGTACTTCACAATTAATTATATCATCAAGTTTACACCGTTTACGTTTTTTTCTCACCAACTAGGCAACTATGGCCTAAAAAATAAGCATTAGTATTGCTTCCAAAAATAGTTAGAGTTCCTTCATTATTACCAACTTGAGGAAATTATCTTATCACTCTTGATTAACAATTCTTTTTTACATACTCTTTCCATCCCTCAAAGTCAAAACCTATACTAACTTATTTTTGGATGTCCCATAAATTTGTCAAGTATGACTGTATGAGTATATAATAATTTGGACGGGTTCTATAGGCTTATATTTGACAACTCCACTTAAATTCTATATATGAAAAGAATACTACCTTCATAAAAGGAAAATACAGTCCATTCAATAATATTAATTGTCAATTGTTCCTAAAAAAAACTGTCAGTTGTGCATCAAATACAATTTCCTAATTATGTGTATTTTCTCTATGATGACATTTATTGAAACCCTTCCCAGACCTACTTTGTGGGATTTTACTGGGTTTGTTTTTTGTTTGTTGTTCTCTATCATCACATTTAGTTGATATAGTAGAAGGTTGCCTATATTGCCTATGTGGAAGAATTATTATGCTCCGTTCTTGGTATATGAAAGACTTCGAGGAATATAGCTCAATCAATAAAATTATTAAATAGAAGTATAGGATGAAGAGGTAGATGCATTTTTTAATTTGGTTTAAAATGGCTGCACCAGATGTAGAAGGAAGACAAATGCAACCCAGTACCATGGGCCAAGATAATTATTGATAGTTACCTCAGTCATAACTATTTGTACTCTTTGAGAAGGAATTGAATGCTGAAGTTTCATGAAGTGTTATTCTTATTAGGAATACCCTATATATCACTCTTGAAAATATATATAATGGTAGCAATGGAAAATGTCTTTTGTAGATGTTTGTTCGAACTTCTGTGATACAGGATGTATGTAATGTATTTATTGCTTTTTTTAAAGATCTATTCTTTGTCTACAGTTCTGTTTGCAAAATGAATAAAAGTTGTTGTTGCTAGCCTGCTAGGAAATTCTATGAAATGTTATCCATATTAGGAATACCCTATTTATCACCTTTGAAGAAGAATTTAATGATACACATGGAATAATGTCTTCTGCAATCATTTGTTTGATGTTCTGAAATCCAGGATGTAATTAATGTATCTGATACTTTCTTGAAGATCTGTCATTTTGTTTTGCTTGCAATTCTTTGTGCAAAATGAATTATTACGGAGTATTATTTTAATTATATTACTACTCGTATTATTATTACTCAGGAGTATTATTTACTATTATTCTTTGTGTTACTAATCAATTATTATTCATACTATTTTATTGCCAGTGGCTGTGGCACCAGGAAGGACACGTAGTTTAGTTGAGAGATTTGAGAGAAGAGAAATACCACACGTTGATACCCGCCACACTGACACAGTTCTTTGTTCAAAACCTGAAGAAGCAAAAACATCCCTGTTACAGGTGAAAGATTTTGTCTTTTCAGTGGGATTCTTCATATCTAGGATTTTCCTAAGTGTAGAAGCAAAACCAAGGAAGCTTTGCAGAAAGTTACTTTCTGTATGCATCATGGTGGCATTCCAGTTTGACATTTTTTTAAAAATTGCTTGCATTCAGGGTGAGAGGGTTGATAAAGATGGAAGGGTGAAAACTGAAGATGCCCCTACTACGGGTACAGTTCCTCTTTCTAAACCGGAGGAAGAAAGAGCACCGCTTACCCCTCCTTCACATGTATGATTATGATCCTATTTCAATAATATTCTGTTACCAACTTACCAAATGTGTCCTGCATAGAGAATTAAAGATAGAGAAAACAAACCAAACAGTATTTGAAATGCCAATGTGCAAGTACTATGCCTTGATTTGTTTTTGTATGGAGGATATTTGTAGTGTGAGGGGTTTGATAGAAGACGAATGTCGAAAGCTGATGCTGCCAAAATTCCTCATAAAGCTCCTCGATCTAAACCCGAGGAATCAAATTCATCTCCTCTGGTATTCTTTTTTTTCTTTTAATTTTCTTCTATTATAAGTTTATAACACCTATAAACCGTCTGTTGTAGAGAGTCAAAGGAGTAAATGCAGAGGACTTTTGATTATTTTATTTAGCATTGAACTTGTTTTTCTATTGTGATCTCTTCCGCTAGGCTGAGAGGCTTGACAGAAGAGAAATGTTGGGAGCTGGTGATGCCCATACTTCTGACACAGTTCCTGAGTCTACGGACGAGGAAGCAAAAGAAATTACATTGCCGGTAAAATTTTGTGCTTCATTTCTAGTCTTGTACTATTGTATAATGCCTTCATATTGGTATGGTATAAGTTACAAGTATCCGTATTTCGTTATGGCACAAAATGTCAAATTCATCCAACCCTCATGTGCTATTTGAGTATATGCAGATTCCTAATACGCAAGTTGAGGAAAGGGGTGAGACAACTGTAAGTGATATTAGTATCATTGAAAATGTGATGCAGAATCATGACACCCTTTTAAGTACATTAAGGTCACGACTGACAAAGTTGCAGGTAATTTTTGGTTGATAGCCAATACTCCTCTTTCCCCAATTAAATCGTACACTTCCCTTTTTTTGGTTGTCCCAAAAATATTTACACATTTCTTTACTTTCCTAATTAAGTAAAAGATGTGGTCCACATTTGTTCTCTTTCTTCTAAACAAATTTCACAACCCCTCATTTTTTACTTTTCATCACTTTTTTAAAACTACGTGAAGTCAAATTGTGTCAATTAGTTAGGGACGGATCGGAGGGAGTATTAATTGTTTGTGAACTTATTTACCCATTGATAAGGTTCTATTAGCTTTCATGTAACACTGATCTGGTGCCTTCTTTATGGCCCTCAGATTTGGTGGGACTATTTGTTGTTATATGTCAAGGAACCAACTCAACCAAAAGCTCAAGCTTGTGGTTGTGGCCCAGGAACAGTTATTTATATTCTAACATTATACTTTATCAATCTATGCCTTTTGTAGATATATAACATTTTTATGTGAAGCTTTTCATGGAGATTCAAGAACGATCTTTCTGAACACCTTGCAGGTAGTTCGACATTTTTGGGAAAAGAATGACATTAAGGGTGCATTCAATGCCTTGAAGAAGTTGCCTGATCAAGCTGTGTGTATTCACTGGAGAATGTTCAAATTATTTTCCTAGTTTTGTTAGCAACAGTTTCAACTTTTTAAAACATCTAATATGTTTCCTACAAATTGTAATTTTTTGCAGGTACAAGCAGATGTAGTTAGTGTTCTCATTGAAAGAAAGGAGATTATTACCTTGGAGTTGTTTTCTTCCTTACTTCCGGTACTGTTGGGCTTACTAGATAGCAAGGTTGAAAGGTAACTGATAATGAGAAACTCGTTATATGAGTTGCAGGAAATTCTGGAGTGATTTTCTATGGCAATCGCACGCTTTTCTTTGGTCGGGGGGGGG